GTTCTTGATAATGATTACATGAAGTCTATGGAATCAATGTAATTGTACTTGATGATGGTAACATGATGCATGATTCTAACGAGCAAGGACACCCTTGCGCTATGAGATTCACCCATTTGGTACGACGAACTCACGCGGCCTTAGTCTCTCAAGGGAGACTAGAAAAGTAGGGGTGGTACTCGAAACTTGAATACCATGTACGTACACTAAGCCCAGAACGGGTGATGTCGGACTAGTAAGTCCTGCACATCACGCTATAAGAGACGCAATTAAGCTTGATCTCTTACGCATGCACATGATGTGATATGCTTCAATATGGATGATGAAATGAATCATATGATATGAACAATTTGTAAACAATATAAATGGATAAATATACTTTATTTTATTTGGGTGAAATCTGATAAAATATCGTTTAATTAAGCTACGAGGCTCGGAACGGTCGACCATTTGGCGCGACACCGTGACGATCGACCGGCGGTCGACCGTTGTTGACTAGTTGCGGATGGCGGACTTCGGCTGGATGGGCGGCGGCCGACCGTCAACCACCGGCGATCGACCGTTTGGCTGACAGTCGTGGTTCGTTTTGAAGTTTAATACGACGGTCGACCGTTTGAGTCAACCGTTTGGGTCTGCGAATCTTATTCTTGATATTTTGAGTGTCCAAAAATACTTATTTAAGTCTTTTAAACACCTTTGATTAATATATACATATTTTTGGGTTTATTTCAAATGTTTATGTATAGTAACTTTATGATTTTGGTATATTATGGTCTTAACACAAAGATGACTTATATATGCGTCACATATATATTTTGGAATGATTTCAACAAATGGATTAACATATATGTTCATGTACGCATGTGATGAATGATTCGACAAGTCTAACACAAAGGTAGAGACCTGGAAATCATCGGCCGAAACCTTACGGATGAGCGGGAGTGGAAACAACAACGAAATTCACCAACTTTGTCATTCCCGTCATAATTGGACAGCCTGCGGTATTTTGAGCATATCTCCATCGTTTCTTCACGAAATCGCAAACCGTTTGATTCCGTGGATTCCTAAGATGTAAGGCTACATTTTTCGTATAGAAAGTATTTCGTTTTAACAGATGTAAGATAGCGTAAATTGGACCTGAAGTCAAAGGATAGTTGCTGTCCAGGATTTTGTATATGTCGATGAACAATGATTCCGACGATTAACTCCTTTATTTCAATATTCAAACACCGAGTTTTCTCTACGATACCTTCCGGATGTTCCTAATAATTGTTAGAGAGTTTATGGTAAGTATTTGGAATGAAATTATATGAATTTGGTGAAGAAACACATGCTAACCCGAGGAGCTCACCACCACTGGCGCAGTTCCAGTATTTTGTCCATATCTTCTTCGTTACTTAACGAAATCGCGATCCGTTTGTTGGGCTGGATTCGTATCGTCCGGAGCTACAACTTTGGTTCAGAAAGTATTTCGAGATATTGGATGGAAAATTTCAGAACTTACGTAGAAGTTGATGTCGTGTTTGGAACTCATGATTTGGAAACAATGGATGGTTTATTCTTGTTTCTTCTTCTTCCATAACCATCTATGGAGGAGGCTATTTTCTTCTCTCCTTGAAGTTGTTGACAGTGAGAGAGAGAGGAGGACAAAGGAGTTGTGTTGTAATTGGCTTTAGGAAATTGGGATAGACTTTAATAGCCAAAGTCATTTGGCTTATTAGGATATGAAGTGAAGCCTGGAGAGACTTTTAAAACACTTAGGAAATTTCCTCCTAAGGTGGCTGTCCGATTTGTGAAGATTTGAGGAGAAATAAACTTTGGCTTTTAGTCCAAACTGATAAATTTATCCCGAACGGTACACACTTTTTCATCCAAACTGTTCCGAATTGGAAACGGATTGTGTTTTTGGAATCAGACTGTCAAAACTAGAATTTTGACATAATCAAAATATTTTTCTGAGAACTTTTATTTTTCTTAGTGTTCGGGTCTGTCTCGGTCATAAATTATTTAATACTCCCTCCGTCCCCCTGTATTTGTCCACATTTGACTTTTGGAACTGTTCATCTAAGCACTTTGACTCATCAAATTCTCTCAATGTGTAAGCTTAAATATAGTCATATGTGATCTTGTTTGATTTGTCTTAACATATAGATTATTAATATATAATTTTTATAATTTTTTAATATACAAATTACAAGATAAAATGAATTAAAGAAGTGCATTGGATGTTGTGTAAAAATGAAAGTGGACAAATACAGGGGGACGGAGGGAGTAATATGAATGAGATAAAAATGTATCAATTAAATTCAAATGATAAATATGATGTTGTCAAGTGTCAAAATTATGATTTCTAATCTGATGAAATCACTTTTGAATTGAGTTTATTTTATGGGTCAAAGTTACAAATTTTAATATTTAAAATTGTCATAACTTGAAATCTATAAATCAGATGGATTCATAAAATGTACCGTTGGATTCGTCTCTTCGAGACATATCCATAAAAATAAGTTTTTAACAAAAAAAGTCATTATTTTGAAAATCCATTTATTTTTGGTCAAACTTATTAATATTACTTATTGGACCAAAAACTACTTTTGTTTTATAATAAATTTTAGGCCATAGTTTGTGGCGTTACATTTCTTCCCCCCTTAAAAAAAATTTTGTCCCCGAAATTTCCTTAGGTGAAGTCATTTAAAATGATGATGTACAAAATAATGAATATCCATTTTTTTTTGTAAAACACTATTTTTGAAAAGTTGTTTTCTCTTTGTCTTGTTGAGTGTCATGCTTATGTGATGTTCTCTATTGATTATGACATTTTTTTAGAAGGATATACGCGGATGATAGATGTAACATGTTAGGATTTCTTTTTTTTTTTTTTGAAGATTTTCGTCGAATATACTCTTTGACTTGCTATTGACGCGGTGAAGGAGTTTTCCAAAAGTTCTTGTATGGATTTCGTTTCTTAATGTGGGGTAGTTTACAAAATTTCTATTTTTTTTATTCTTTTTAAAATCATCCTCAGACGACTTTGTCTGGAATGTTGGTTTCACAAATTACGTTTCTTTGTCTACAAGCTTGAACGAATTGTTTTTTTTTGACGTTTTTGCATAACGGTGTTTTGAGGAATGACTATTACTATAGTCATCATTCTAGATTTTCTAGATGAATACGTAATTATACTTTCAAAATTTGAACTCTCATTAGCGATCCTTAATAGAGTTGTTCTGACTAACGTAATGTCAATAAGCTGATTTAAACTTGTTGGTAATAGTTAACACATATATCACACTTATGTATAATAATGAGATATGTTTTTTATCACATTGTAATGATTGGATGAATGTTTTGATAACACTTGCTATTTTGTCACTATTTGTCTTATCAAGATGATATGTAGTCATTCTTGAATACTGATTTTCTGATTGATGATTCCAGAACTACCTTGAAATTTCAGACTTTCTCAATAATTAAGATAGAGATTCGTGCTCGAAAATTATAATATTAGTGTATTCGTCATATCACTAATATTCTTACTTCACACAAGAGTTGGTTTACCTATTATCAAAAACATGATAAGTTATACGCATAGTCGTATTCTAATACGTTTGGGATTCTACTGATATATGCGTTTTTAAAAAAAAAAAATAGAATTCAATCTTTTCAAGATTGATCAAGTGAGATGCTTTAAGTGTGTAATTAACATAGCAAGTTTGAATATTTTGAGGATATAAGTCACAAGATACGAATATAGCATTTGCGAGTTATTGTGGCAAATCGTAGGTTTTCATCCTTTAATGTTTCACTCTTTGGAAGTTACTCAAGGGGTCATTGTCTTAGATAAATAGTCATTTTGACTTTTCATCTCGGATTTGAATGTATTTCAGGACAATGAACCTAACTGTTCATTAGTCTCAATATGTCATGTCGTCAGTAGACTGTAGTATTGGCGAGTACGTTCTTGTCTGAGCGAATCCACTTTCCTGTACGTTTTTAGGCTGGTGATAATTACTTTTCAATCAATGGTCCAGTTTCAGAGTCTATATATATCAAATTGTGGCAAGAGCGTCTCACATTCTCACATTATGGAAGGAACTTCTCGAGCTCTTCCTAATACCATAAGATTCGTTGGTCTACTTGGTAGTCATGCTTTTGGTAGCAATCCAAGGTTCATGGCTACATCGGTTGATCTAGGATGGGAATTGGTAAGACGAAAAATAAGGCTTACCTACGGAGGAGGTAACGTTGGCCTTCAAGGAGCTGTAGCTTCAACAGTCTATAATAATGGTGGTAGAGTCAGAGGTTTCATACCTGGGTATATAGCAACACGAGGGGTCTATGGACCAACATATGGTGCGGAGTACACCGTCTCCAGCAATTACTATAAGTATTTCGAGATGAATCATATTGTGGAAGCCTTCATTGTACTTCCTGGAGGGATTGACACTATGGAAGGTTTATTCACTTTGATCTCATGGGCATCCGAAGGGTTGCACTGTAAACCCATTGGTCTTTTGAACATTAACGGTTATTTCAATAACCTAATCAAGTTTCTAGATGATGCGGTGACACTTTAAAAACCACGTCATTTGAGTGAAAACCACGGCTAGCCAAGTTTATGCCGTTTTGAAAGATTTTTGTCAAACGACCAAAAAGCGAAAGATGGTTTTCAAGGTGTTTTTGTTGGAGAACCGTTTAAACATGCCAAAGAGTGAAAACCAATCATAAAAAGTTGAAAACCACTCGGTTGGTTCGGATGCCAAAAACCAATGCCGATAACCGAGAGCCAAACGTCGGTTTCCGAAACCCGAACGCTAGATGGCTTGGTTTTTGGTTTGGGCGAACACCAAGTGTTTTTAATGATTTAAAAATCTTTGAAAAACATTTTTATGATGTGATAAAATGCAATAAAAGATTTTAGCCTTAAGAGCCAAGGTGTAAAGATTGGGTCGGTCTTGATCACAATGAAGACCGACTTAACGACACTAAGACTATGGTCTTCGTTCTTGGTCTTCTTTTAGCTTTTCTTCTTCTCTTCATTCTTCGCCTTGTATATTCAGTGTTTGACTTGATCACGGCGGTTTGGCATTATCAAAACCTATCATAAGAACAAACATGGCTTTAGTACGAAAACGTGACAACCCCGTGTTTCAACAATCTTCCCCTTTTTGATAATGGCAAACGAGATGAGGTTATGCATATGAGGAAGGCTTTGAGGCTTAAAAAAAAGATGTTCCCCCTTAATAGATGCCATTTTATTAAAAAGATTTCCCTCAATTTATGCATAACCTTGATATCTTCCCCCTTTTGACATTAACAAAAAGAATTTAAAGTGAACTTTTAGAGTTTAAAAGTAAACTTTTATTCATTAAAAGAGGAGAAAGTGCTGAGTACAACGGAATTGAAATAGATAAAGGAATTGCAATTAAAGTAGGGAAAGGAGAGAAGGAAGAGTCTAGGCATCGGCGTCCTCTTCCTCGGCGTCATCGCCTTCTTCGTCGTCCTCGACGTCCATGGGAACCCCGTCGACCGCATCCTCAAAGTCGGCTTCGTCGGGGGAGGAGGACGGAGCATAGGAGTTATCCTCCTCGTCCTCGCCTTCATAGTTCTGGCCAAGGAAGGTGGTGTCAAAGGGCGGCGGGACGTAGTTGATGCCACGGAAGAACGCCGTCATGTCGTGGTGTTGGCGTTGCAGCGTCCAGTCCATCCTTTCCAGGTACTGGCCCATGCCGTCCATGGTGATGGTTAGCTGATTTAGGGTATCGGCTATGGACTGTAAAGAGGCCTTGGCGGGAGCGGGGGCTGAAGCCCGACTGGGTCCTGCGCCGGTTCTGTCACCAGACTTCTTCCGGAAGGTGCTATCTTGGATGATCCAAATCTTCGTCATCTTCGTGTCCGGGCCGGCGATGTGGATGTCGGAGGCAACAATGAGATCCATGACGAGGAAGGCGTATGGCAAGCTCCGCTCGGTGGTGATGGAGGCGCAATCCGCCATGTGAATCATGACGAATTTTGCCCAATTGATCGAGGCGCCATGGGTGATAGCATGAACGGCCTTGAGATCCTCATTGAAGAGACAGGTGTGGCTAGCGTCCCGGGGGCGAAGAATCCGAGTGAGGATGTAGAGTAGAAGAGGCTTTTCTGGCGGGGCTGAGTGGATGGTTGGTGCGCCGCTGTGAAGGATGAGGTTGGTGATTCCAAGCTCTTGGATGACCACCGCCTCGTTGTTGAGAATCCAATCATCGCCACCTCATGTCGCGATGTCGTCACCGCGGGTGGGCAGCCCTGCAACCCGAGCAAAAGTAGCCAAGTCGAACTCTATGTCATTGAGATTGATGCTGCTCCGGATGGTGTCCCCGTCTCGGCGGAGATTGGAGTAGAAGGCCCGGACATAAGCGGGATTGAAGGCGGTGCGACTCCTGGAGATAAAGGGCCACAAACCCGACTCCTTGAGTTGGTTGTCAAGGTCGTAGTATCCCTTCTGTTGAGGGAACAACTCGGGCAGCACCCTTTGCGGTGAGATGCGACGTTTGGCGAAGTGGGTGATGAATCGAGTAAGTTCTTCCTCCGAGCCAAATTCGAGAAAGGATCCGTCCAGGTATGGAAACTACTGGGGCGCAGAGGACGTTGCTTCGACGTTGGTCTTCTTCTTGGAGGCCTTGCTCTTAGATTTTCCTCCGGCCATTGAGACAAAAGAGAGAAAATTATGAAGAATTTATGAAGATTATGCTAAAGCAATGCAATTTGTGAAGTTGAAAGTGTGAAAAAATGGCCAAAGGTGATAGGAATATATAGGGAGAGAGGTGGAGGGCCGTTTGAATTCAAAAATATAGCTGTTGGGCATTTAATTTGGTGCCCAACGGTTATTTTTTTTGAATTTCGGCAGGCTCCCAGCGACGGTATGAGCTACCCATCGATGGGAAGGTTACCACTGGAAAGCACGGAAGAAATTAAAGCTGCCTTCCCAGCGATGTGTGGATTTTCCCATCGATGGGAAGGTGGCTTCTAGAAATCCGATAAAACCTTTTTTTAAAAAAAAATAGTGTCAAACACCCAGCGATGGGAGAAACTTCCCATCGATGGGAGGGAAGGTTCTGGAAAAATTTTTGAAACTGAAATCATTCACCCAGCGATGGGATAAAAGACCCATCGATAGGTAGGGTGTTTCTGGAAATTTTTTTTTTGACAAAAGTCCTTCACCCAGCGATGGGATGAAATACCCATCGATGGGAAGAGGGGTTCTGAGAAAAAAGAATACTTCCCTCCCAGCGATGGTGTAATCCACCCATCGCTGGTTCCCCCTGATTTCCAGAATTCTACACTTTGAACCGTCCCTGCAAAAAAGAGTTAGAAAACCCTCCGACGCTCAAGTTAGTAAATGTTCAATGAGAGTGATGAAATGCACAAGTTAGATCATCGTGGAGTCAAGGATTCCGAGTTCACTACGAATGCGGAAGAACGACTCTTTCTCTAAAGGTTTTGTGAAAATGTCGGCTAATTGGTTATGTGTTTCAACAAACTCAATTTCGACATCACCTTTGAGAACATGATCTCTAATGAAATGGTGCCTAATGTCAATGTGTTTCGTCCTTGAATGAAGAACGGGATTCTTCGTCAAGCTTATGGCGCTAGTATTGTCACACCGAAGTGGAACGTGACTAATACTAAGGCCATAGTCCACAAGTTGTTGCTTCATCCAAAGAGTTTGAGCACAACAACTACCGGCGGCAACGTATTCCGCTTCGGTTGTGGATAACGCAACACTGACTTGTTTCTTGCTAAACCATGAAACTAAAGAGCTACCAAGTAAGTGGCAAGTCCCACTCGTACTTTTACGGTCCAATTTGCAACCGGCAAAGTCCGAGTCGGAGTAACCAACGAGATGACACGAAGAGCCTTTTGGATACCACAGTCCAACATTAACCGTGCCTACAAGGTATTTCATGATCCGTTTCACCGCCGTTGAGTGTGATTCCTTCAGACATGATTGATACCTTGCGCAAAGGCATACGCTAAACATGATATCCGGCCTGCTAGCGGTAAGGTAGAGAAGGGATCCGATCATACCTCGATACTTTTTGACTTCAACTTCCTTACCTTTTTCGTCTTTGTCTAGGTAGTCGGACGTGCTCATCGGGGTCGCCATGGCTTTGGCGTTGTCCATTTCGAATCGTTTTAGGAGCTCCTTGCAATATTTGGTTTGGCAAATGAACGTGCCATCTTTCATTTGTTTGACTTGGAGTCCCAAAAAGAATGTAAGCTCTCCCATCATGGACATTTCAAATTCGCTTGTCATTAGCATTGAGAATTCCTTGCACAAAGACTCGTTAGTAGCACCGAATATAATATCGTCTACATAAACTTGAACCAAACAGATGTTATTGTGTTTACTCTTGATAAAAAGTGTAGTGTCAACCTTTCCCCTTTGGAAACCACTATCCAAAAGAAATTTACTCAAACTTCGTACCAAGCACGGGGTGCTTGTTTAAGACCGTAGAGCGCTTTCTTGAGTTTGAAGACATGGTCGGGAAACTCAAAGTCTTCAAACCCCGGGGGCTGGTCAACATACACTTCCTCTTGAATAAAACCATTGAGGAATGCACTCTTAACATCCATTTGATAAAGTTTAAAATCCATAGACGAAGCAAAAGCAAGAAGTAAACGAATAGCTTCTAAACGTGCTACATGTGCATAAGTTTCTTCGAAATCAACGCCTTCTTCTTGATTGTAGCCTTTAGCTACGAGCCTAGCTTTGTTTCTAGTGATTATTCCATTTTCATCAAGTTTGTTACGGAACACCCATTTCGTACCAATAACCGTACGATCATCGGGTCTTGGCACCAATTCCCAAACGTCATTTCGTTTGAACTGGTTTAGTTTCTCTTGCATAGCCAAGGTGCAATGTTCATCGTTTATTGCTTCGGGAATGGTTGTAGGTTCAATTTGAGAAATAAAAGCCATGTGTCCTACGGTGTCCCTAAGAGAGTTACGAGTACTTACCCCGCGGTTGATGCTGCCGATTACCTGGTCAAGCGGATGGTTCTTGTTTGTTCTCCATGCAATAGGAAGCTCGGTTGCTTCTTCTTCTTCTTCGTGTTCCGCTTGTTCTTCTTCTTCCTCTTGTCTTTCTTCATCACCTTGGTTAGCTTCTTGAGGTATTTCCTCAGTTTGTGACTGTGTGTTGGTGTAAATTCCCGTGTTCTCCTCATCGTCATCAACGTGTATTCTCTCTAATGAATCTGAAAGATCATCACAAATATCCTTTCTTGCCAAGCGAGGGTTATCTACGGAAAATACAATATGAGAAAAGAAAAAAACTCTATCGGTTTGGATTTTATTTCTTGGGTTTCTACTTGCTAATTGCTATGATGGTCGGCCTAATCCGACCCACAATTTGATCGGGTCTAACATGGAGTCACAAAAAGTCAAAAACCCTACAAAGCCCGTCAATTCAAACATATTCCAACGTATCTCTTTGTACCACCTCCACATATTCTCCGCATTTTCAAACATCAGCTCGCCGGAAAAAACCAAGTTCATGGACTCCACTCCTCCGCCGCCGGAACCCAGAAACCGAACAAGATCGTCTTCAAGGCGCTCCGAAATTCGTTGAACGATGTGGCTGCTGAAATTTCCCCTTCACTCCCAAACCAAGAACTCTTTCTCATCTCCCCTTCCCCAAATCGGAGAACGAAGTCACGTTTACCGGAGAATCTTGAAACTGTTGACCACGTCGCCGAGCCCGCCGGCGCTCTCCGGAGACGCAGGACCCGAAATGCCTCTTCAGTTCTTGCTTCCCCTAGGAATACCAGGAGACAAAGAAAGCGAGTAGATCAAGAAACGATGAGAGACTTTAACGAATCAGAGGTCGGAGATGGAGAGGAGTGCGTTCGGCGTAGAAAGAAGAGGCAAATTGTCATATTCATTTCTTTTGTACTTATTCACAATTTTTAAACATGGGAATAGCTTAATGCACCCCTGCAATTGGTTGTTGGGTTAGGTTCTGGGTAGGGATTTTGTTTCTTACTTTGGGGATTGGACCTGATTTTGGGGTTGGTTTTGGGTTAGGTTCTAGGTTGACTTTTAACTTTAGTGTTTGACAATCAAATTTGCGTTAGGTTTGCTGGTACAATCCGTTGGATTTTAATTTTTAGGTCAGACTCTAGGTCGTGTTTTGAGTTAAGGCAATTGCGTTTTACTGTCTTGCAGATTTCCCGGTATGATTGAAACGTTTTCTCTGATTCCTC